GAAGAATAAGTTCTTTTTCTCTCTCTATTTTTTTTCTTGGAGTATAATTCTTGCCGTTGGCAAGAAGTGGGAAGTAACGCGTAGACGATTTAACATAGAAAAAAAAAGACATTGGCAGCTTATATGCAAGGATGACCAGATGGTGCATCATCGCTAAAAACGTATCGACCGGTTTTACGTGTTGGTTGCTTTTTTTGCGTAAATTTGACCACCAATTCAACCTTTCTGAACGATACTTTTACTTTTCTTACTTTTTTTTTCTTTTCTTTTTTTTATAAAAACCCCTCGTTAATCATCATCTACAATTAGCAAATGACTATGAACTTATTATTATATTCAACACCGTGTAGAATAATATACGTTCAGATTAATATAACAAACATTTATATCAACTTCATAAATAATAATAATTAAAAATAATTTTTAAAATCAAGCCAATAAATAATAATAATAATAATATAAATACCATATTTAACGAATAAAGAAACATTTTCTAGTTTCTTTTTTTTCGAATAAACAATTTTCCCTTCTATTTTGAAATAATTCAATCAATGTTTTCCATAAGATCTTAAAATAAAGAAAATAGCTGAAAGATACATAGACATACGTATACATATATATATATAGATCGCATTTCAGGTACACCTACGTAGAATAGTATAGATGTTATCCATGTGAGAGAATACTGATCGGTATGTGTACATATATATACATATTTACACACACATATATATGGGCACGAAGCGCGTGCCACGGATATCTCTGTTGCATCTATGGTCATCGTATGTAACATTTCGTAATGTCTACTTCGTCCTCGTCAAATCGTTACGAAACGATCTTGTATTTACTCTTTGATATAGAGCCAATGATTAAATTCGACGTGAACTTGAGATAAAAAGAAGGAAGATCCTGAACAAAAGATCCTGAATCTCAATAAAAGGAGAAAAGCAAAAAAGAAGAAAAAAGATTCTCGAACGTGAACTCGAAAGAGAAAGGAGAAGGAAGACTTTAGTAGAATGGGGGGGAAGGATTTATTTAGAGTACTATAGACCTCATTATAGTCGGTAATGACAGTACGAATGGTCATTAAGCCACGAATGGTTAAGTTCTTTTGCTTCTACGGTCAGATCTCTCGTATCCAATCGTGTTTCTAGCTAGTATACTTTTCTTCGTGTTCTAAGTAGAACGATGTGTGTATGTGTGTGTGTTTATGTATGTGTATATATATAGTAGTTAGTAGTAATAGCCCATGGTATGCCTTACTGTGTGACTTGGATTAACATCGACCACATCGGTGGTAATTACTTGCCTATGTTTAAACTTCTTGGATTTATCAAAATAAATGAGACGTAGCTAACGTTCGAACAAGTTAAGAGTACGAAGAAAAAACATCTTCGTTATTATTATTATTATTTTTATTATTACAAAGAGTATCAAAGAAAAAGAGAAATAGGAAATATATGTAATTTATCTGGAATCGTCTTGATCATTTGACGTTAATTTGATTTTTATTATTATTGGATATGATGCAATGATCTTGCATAAATTAACAATGGATAATGTAATTTTTCATTGGGTCAATTTAAAAAAAAAGAAAAAGGGTCGTCATTTCTTCGAAAATGTGCAAGAACTTCAATTAAAAAATGATTTATCACTTTCGTGTAATATAAAGAAAAGAAAAACAAATAGAAAGCTAAATTGGTGATCGATTGTTGGTGAAAATATTAATTTACAAGGGATGATCGATCACCTACCGAGTGACATCAAACTATTTTCCTAATTACCAATGCAATCAAGTAACGTTTAACCTGTCCAATTAAGATATCGTCCGATCGATGAAACAACAATTTTCTCGATTCAATGCTAACGAATCCGTGTGATCGACAGATCATGGAGTATGACTATAGTACTTTGTTACTCTCGTTCAAGGTTTTTTTTCTCTTTTTCTCCTTTTTTTTTTACATTTTCTCAACCTACGCCGATCTCGATTCGTCGCGGTAACCAACGTTCGAACAACAAACGCGTGACTTCCGGCGAACGTTCAAATTTTTTTCTCCGAGATGACGTAAGAAAAATCGGCCAAACTAAAAAATGAAGAAAAAAAAGACCGGTCTTATACAGTTTTTCTATTAATTTTCTTTATTTTATTTTATTAAAAACAAATTTACCGTGAAAAGAACCATGAGTTGTTGTTAGGTATCTATGTAAGGGAAAAACTTAAAACGATTTTCTATAAATTTTATTTAATTTAGTTTCGAAAGAGCATGAAATAAATAAATATATCGGGTTAAAAAGTAGCACATTCGTTTGTAGTGAAAATCGTAAACCAAAAAAGAAAAAATAATTTTATATGTTGGTGTGTTATAAGTTTTAATATATCAATTATTATACCTTATTGGTAACACCCCTTTAAGTTCATATTTTATTATTTTATTTTTAAAAAAAGAAAAAAACTTGAATGCAATGATTTAATCGTAAATAAATAAATGCGAATGCGTTTTCTCGTTTTATGATATATCTAAAAATAGTACATACATATATAATATCGTGCCGATCGAGTTTTAGAAAGCAGCAGCAATACCTTTTCTCATCTCTCATCTTTCTCTTCTTTTCGAAGAGAGTTCACCTCGATGACGTTGCGACCATGTAGCACGGTGATTCCTTCTTCAGTATTACTAGTAGTACATACTAGAAAGAAAAAGAATAAGAAGAAAAAAAAAGCCGGTTTCCATCCTTTCACGTACCATAAATGGCGGTCTCGATCCGATCGAAAACGCATATAAAAGCGATCGGCCGAGCAAGAGAATTTTCTTCGTGACGTGATTTATGCACCTAAAGTAAATGCTGCATGCTTCTTAGAAATCGATAACGGACGGATATCCTTTATTTCATAGAAATATAATATATGGAAAAATTTCGACAAGAATACTCAATTATGGTCATTTTTGTTTCTTTTTTTTTTTAACTAAATATATTATATTGTTATATTCATATAATAATCAATATAATATAGAAATAATGATGTGTGTATGTTTTTAATACAATAATCTTTTATATATTGAGCCAATATTTTTATATAGTTTTAAATTAATAAATTAAATAAATGTTGAATATTAATATTTATAATATAAAAAGTATCGGTTTGGAATATATGTGATTAATATTACACCGATTAATAAAAAGATTTAGTATTTTATATAGGTGATCTGTATTTTACAATAGAATATTATAGTAGTATCTACCTTTTATTAGCATGTGATACCTTCAATTATACATATTCACCCCAAAAATGTTCAAAAATATTGAAAGAAATAAATAAAATAACATTTAAATTATTTTATTTTTTAATTTTAATTATTTTTATTTTATTTATTCTTTCAACATTAAAAATATTGATATAATATATGTAATATATAATTCTCAGAATTATATGTAATTATATGTCTAAGAATTTAGTATTAATATCGTAAAGAATATACGAATTGAGATCAATGACGAATAAAAAAGAAATGCAGTAATTTCAAACTATTATAATTCATCTTTTTTTTCTTCTTCTTTTTCTAAAACAAAAAAATAAACAAATCTGTCTGCAACGAACCGTTACTTCTCGTTTAAATAAAAATCAAGACGCATGCTCGCATTTTCATTAGCACGCATTCATTGTTTTACGAATACTTTCGCGCTGCGTTTGCAGGCGTAATCACTTTGTTCGACTTTACACGGTTCGTAATTTTTCGAATGGATCGTTGATCACACACACAGCCTTCTCCGCGTCGACACGAATTCCTCTCTTTCAAATTCTTTAACATAAGTCAATAAATCTTATCACTCCTCTTACGACAGGAAGATCTTCAAGTCATGAACTTTTATTAACACACATGTTCCCTTAACTTTATTATTTTCTTTTTTATAAATCATATACATACAAATTAGCATAGATTCAAGTATTATACTTTATCTTAATACTTTGTTGAGATCGGCTATTTTTTTAAGAATTTATCTCATGTCACCGGCTATTACTTCGTAATTGAATTGAAAAGTAGAACAATATAAGTAATTTTTAATAAATTTTACCTATTATTAGACTTTAAATATTTCTTCTTCTTATGATAAACAGTATAACAATAGTACAAAAAAACTTGGTACTATTGTAATATTTATTTTCGCTGCGTTTTCCTTTTAAATAGCGTGGTACGAAAAAAAACGCATCACGAGTTAACTTGTGACTGGTCAGCAACGTTCGGCCACAGAAACACGAGTTAACTCGGGACTGGTCAACAAAGTGTTAAAACTGTTTCTTATCGAACCGTTTTTAAGTAAATTTCATTTACCAATAACGGTACACGCTTCGAAATTTGGTAAATATACAAAAACGAGATATTTTTTTTTAACTTTCCAAAACTGGCTATTTATTCATTCGTAGACTAAACATTAAAACTATAAGAAAAAAAAAGCTTTATTGATGCCAATTACGATGACTTATTTTTGATATCCTTTTTTGTAACATATTATATAAATTTAAATATATCATACGTCCGAGTAACGAGATTCAGGTATGTTTTAAAGACGATAATCCACGGTTTGATATATGTCACTTAAGAAAAAGGGTAACAAAAAGCAAATTGAAAACAAAAAAAATGAAAACAAAAATAAAAAGAAATATTATACAAAGTGGAAAAAGTAAACACCCCGGATTTCCTTCGGAGCAACTGGTTTTACCCTCGATAGAAGCAAGGTCAATGTTAACAGCAGCTGCAGCAGCTGCTGCAACAACGTTGATTCGTGGTAAAATCTTGTACATGTGAACATAGAGCGTTACAAGATTTTTCACCCTCTCTCTCTCACACTTTCTTTCATTTTTTTTTACTATTTTTTTATCCTTTCTTTTATTTAGATGATCTCAGTTAGTTGTTTCGTTGTCTCCTCTCATAACGAAACCCGGATACATTCGAGGTACGCAAGCAACACGTTTTTAACCCGTCAATTTCGATTGGTTTCAGATAAAACTGGAACGAGTACTGGGTGTCACAGTATCGAGCAATGCAGCCCTGGATTGCGACGCTACGAGCGAGTTGGTCGCTTATCCTGCTGGGTGAGTAATCTATTTTCTTTATTTTTTGTCTTCTTTTTGGTCTCTTCGTTGTATCTAATCGACCTATATATATCTATCGATCTCTCGATCTACTTTTGACCCACTTTTGGTCCACTTTTGTACCGGTATAACTCTAATCGTTTCGCTCAGCAACCTAAGCTTTTCTATTGTTTAACGTTAGATTAGACGTTTGGACAAAAAAGAACAAAAAAAAAAGTAGATGAATTCTTTTAACGGTGTTTAACACCAAGTTAATCTATTTTACATCTAACTTCTAATATTACCGTTTGAAATACATTAACAACATGTACATGTAACATATACTCCATACGTTGTACAAATTGATAATGATTGAAGTATGTGTGATACTCACTGCGTTTGAAGTATCCAATAAGTCAATCTATTAGTCGTCAATGTCCTATTTTTGGGATACATTTTCCAAATTTTCCTTTTAATAATTGCAAATTCAGAATGAAATATTATCGTTAAAATATTGAAATCGTACCTCGTGCTCTATATTTAAATAAAAAAAACAACAATTATGACAAAAAAAAAGTTCTTATTAATTTGATGAAAATCATTATATAATTAATTTAATTTTTTTTTATATTTTTGTATTGTGGCGGTTAATGGGTTAATATAATTAATTATTAATTTTATTTATATACTTATATAAAACAACCTTTTTTTATTTATATCGAAAATTCTCCAATTATTTATTAGCCAAGTATACGAATTATAATTAGTAATGTTTAGACGAGATAATAACGTAATAATTTAAGGATAGCAAAAACTCGAATGTTTTATTTGTTATTAATGCGAATCGATTGTTTTAATTATTGATCTTTGAATTATGATCGTAACTAAACTGTGCAATTTTAATCGAGCATACGTTGAAATGTGTAAGATGTTAAACGTACTTCGCGAGTTTGCCAACCTTGCCGTATATCTTTCAAAGAGATAATTACTTTGACCGTAACAATTTTTCGAGCACTTAATTATTAACCCTCATTCGAATGGATCTGTGCGCTTTCGCTTTACAAATCTACACTGACTTTTAAAGGCCGAGACTTGTATTATCCATGTGAAAGCGATAAATCGATCGTTAATTTTTTTACAAATCGATCAGAAGAAAATATTAAGACATTATTTATATTTCATTATAATATGCTCGTTAGAACCCTTAAATATTCAATCAAATTTTTATTTATTAGCATTTCCAAATCTTTTAGATTGTAATAACTTTTAATAATGATTTATACACGGGTAAACTTTCTCCTCCTTTTCTGATGATTTTAAAGTTTTATTCTCGTAAAAAAAAAAAAAACCAAAACAGAAATTGGAAATTAATAATATGCGTTAAACATTTCAATAAAATAAGTTGTAACTGTTGAGAAGTAGAATATATAAGAAAATTATTATATTAAATAAATAATTTAAAACATATATATTAATATATATATATATATATATATATATATTGTGTTTTGTATTATTTTATACAAATTTAAAATCTACGTGTTTCGTTTTCAAATATTTATTTATTTGCAACATAAATGAACTTTTAGAAAACGAATGTACCGTTAGATTATTATCTCGAGTTTACTTCTTCTTCGTGATTAAATAAAAAAGAAGTTTAAAATTATCTCGACAACAGGAAATAAAGAATGGAAAAAGGTGTCGATAAAGGAAAAAATAAATAGAAAAAAATATTTTAAAAACTACAAAAATGAGGGGTTCACGTTTCACTCATTGGTCACGGATAAAACACTAGCAACGGATTTCGATAAAAGAAACCTACTTCTCTCTCGTTTCTTCTTTTTTTATCTTCTTCTTCTTTGGATTTTTCTTCGAATTTTTCTTACCTGCCGTGACTTCAATGAAAAGAATGGCGAAAGTAAGATGAAGAGATTATTCCGGTTTATCGCGACAACAAGAGAGTGGAACATTTTCGTTTATATTCAACAAGACCGGATCATGATCGTTCCGTGTCCTTCAACGGACAACCATGATTGGCTCACCTTGCAACTTTGTCCTGTGTGTCTCTTATTGCAAAATTACATTTATTGTTCTATGTTTTGCAACAACTAAATGGATTTGCCATCTAAAATTTCCAAACATGGAACTGAACGCCAGTTACCATGGATAAATTATTATTTTCATATGATCTCAAGCAACTTCGTGAAAGTTCCACTTGGTTTTCTTTTGATTTCACCTCATCCCGACAAATTACTTTCTTCCACCCTCTGTTATCTTTCAAGCATCAGATATGTGTGTTTCGTTTTACAAGATGAATGAAATCTCATGTGTTTACATTATTTTCCACTTTAAATAAAAAAAAAATTATAAGAAATATTAAATGAACAATGAAGATGTTTAGATTACTCGATATTTAAAGATTAATTTGAAATCAAAATAAATTATATTAAATATTATTAAATATATTTTAATATTATCTTGATTATTTTCATTTAGATAATGTTAAAGTATTAATTATTATTTTTCCAAATTTTTCTATTTATTTTTTTTATTGCACAATTAATTCAAATTATGCTTAAGATCTTAAAATCTATATTTTATTATTAGTTTTTTTTCTTATAGCTTATTCAATACTGAGTAGTATAATCAATATTATTTAACATGTTATTTGTTTCATAAACTTAAAGTAGAGTTATGATAAATTTATTATTATTTCAAAAGTTATTGAGTTTCTACGTAAACTTTGCCCAATTAAATTCTAGATGTATGATTTGATTCAAATTATTTATCATATGAATATGATTATTACTACTCAAACATAATACTTATAATGAATCAAACTTATTACTCGAAACCAAGAAATAAAATGAAATATAGATAATTCAATGTTTAATTCTAAATAATTAACGATTCATTCAGTCCTTTGTAACATTTTGTAAGTTAGTTAACATAATATAATAATTTGTATCAAGCGTAATATTAAATATAACCGCTCCCAGAAAATAACCTCCTTAGGCTGTAGAGTTAAGGATAACAAGACGAAGTCTTAAAGATAATAATAATAATGATAATAAAAAGTGTAATCAAATGTCAAATAATACTTTATATATGATTATTAAATAGATGGTATATTAAAATTAACTAATGTAAGTTAGTTAAAATAATATAATAATTAATACTAAACATAAAATAATACTTTATACGTGATGATTAAATAAAAATGGTATATTACAATTAGTAAAAATGATAAAATTTTCGGGAATTAAATCGTAGATAGTAAAGGCTTAGAAATAATCGTTCGAAATGCAATAAAATATGCACATGAGGCTACGTACGGTCGGTAAGAGCCGGAAATCGGGTCAAGAGAGAGGTGAATGGACCAAAAGATTCTGTGTCTCGAGCGTACAGTCCTTAACACTGGGAGATCCGCCTCCCGGTAACTATACACACATAATATATATACGTATAACTATGTACTTACTCACATACGTATTTACATACATCAGAGCAACGGTTAAATCGTCGATTCTCTGATCTTGATTCAAGAAGATGTGCGTTCTCGTGTGAAAGAAAAAGATATCTCTGTGAAAGATGAAAAGTGTTCACAGCATCAGCATCTCCAACTAGATCGCATCTCTCGCATACCGTGTTAGATGATGAGTCAACTAGTTGCACCTTTGCATCAACCCATTTTCATTTCCAACGCTCTTCATCTTGTCTCCAATTTATTTTGCATTTTTAGTTTTACTTTTTTTTTCCTGCCCCTCATTTAAAAAATATTCAGAAACGATTTAAAGAATATTTTTAAACCATAGATAACTTTCATATCACGCGTTGTTCGTGTGCGTTCATATTGGATGTGTATATTTTATACATTTTATTTTTTACAAATTATTGCAAAATTATTGTTTATATTTTATAAATACATATACATGTACATTATATTAAATATTAAATTTTCATAGTTTAAATTTCATCTTGTTAAATTTTTTGTTTTATCATGATTTTTGTTGTTGTTGAATATTTAACATTACTTGTAGAAAATAAGAACACTGATGAAGATATGAATATTTATCGTCATTGTAGCAACATTTATTAGAATAGAGATGTGCATTGTCTTCTTCCTAACGTGTTTGACCGGTCATATAGAACAAGTTTAATGAGCGATGGTGAACCTTTACATGGTTCCGTTGAAAATCACGCGGACGTGCCTAATCGATAATGAAAGTCTCGAGGAAAGCTAAACTCGCCTACGGTTAAACATTTTTTTATCTTAAAGAAATATACGTACGTACATACATTATCTTTGCACAAAGTTTCGAACGAAAAAAAAGAAAAAAAAGATTATCCGATGTCATTGGCACGTAGTCTTCTCTTCGACTCTCATCATTAATTATAGTACATTTTCGCAATGTCATCAAAATTTCAAGGACACGTTTGCGAGTCCCAACATTCTTTTCTCACGATTCGTACTTATCGATGTTTTTTCTAAGCAAACGTTCGTTACTAAACACGATAAATTGTAAGAATTCTTTTTCTTAACTACATACAAGTCTTCGCATTTAGTTTTTTTCAATCAAAATAAGAATTCTTGCTAGAAAAAAGAAAATTAAAAAAAGTAGATATAATTACTTATAATTTCGGATAACTGAAATTAAGCACACAACAACATAAAATTTTTAACTTTACATTTTATTCATCTCAATTTTTAGTATAGTTTATTTGAGTACAGTATATTATATGAATTATTTACAAAGTTATTTATTAACAATATATAAAGATTTATTTTTATAAAAGAGGTAAATAACGTAGACTTTTAGAAATTTTTAAGTAAATATAAATTAGGCAACATTGAATAATTTTGTGTTATATTAAATCAACGTATTATAACAAAGCCACATCAGCGTGTGGCCGAGACACCTAATTTTTGGTGTCCTAATTTACCTGTAATAAATTATAGCAACATACAAAGTAATGCTACAATTAGAATGAAATACATAAAATAATAATAGACGAAAAAA